TCAGCCGGGAAGATAATGGTTACTGTCTTTTGGGATTCCCAAGGAATCATTTTTATTGACAGAAAGGTCAAACAGTCACAGGAGCATATTATTTTACATTCCTGAATCGTTTTGTATAAAAAGCTGAAAACAAAACGGCCGAGATTGACGTGCAAAAAAGTCATCTTTCACCATGCTCCGGCTCACACCTCCACAGTCGCAATGGCAAAATTGCTTGAATTAAGATTCGAATTACTGTCCCATTCATCCTATTCTTCCGACTTTGTGACTTCTTTCTATTTCCAAACCTCAAGATCTGGCTCGGGGGAAAGAAATTTTCGTCCGATGAGGTCGCTGCTGTGGATACATATTTTGAAGACCTCGAGACTTCCTACTTTTCAGGGATCAAAGGGAAGGGATCAAAAAATTGGAACATTGCTGGACTAAGTGTGTAAATCTCCAAGGAGAATATGTCGAAAAGTGAAAAAGAATTTTCCGGAAAATAGATGATTTTATTTGACCTTGCTTTTTTACCTGATTTATCGAATGACCCTCGTATATATGAGAGTAGTCTGAAAAGTTTTGAGCCTTAATATGAAAATGACGTTATTCGTCAAAACCATTCTAGTACAATTCTACAATAGTATATCCTTTGAAAGACTTTTGTGAAAATTTCAGCCATTTTAGACGCTCAGTTGTTGTTTGACAGTCGTTTGTGTCAGTCGATGTCAGTGTTTTTGTAAAAATGGAAGAAATTGAATATCGTGCCGTGATTAAATTCTTACATTTGAAAAGCAATACGCCTGCGGAAATGAAAATCGAATTGGATGCTGTTTACGGAGACTCTGCCCCATCATTTACCACTGTAAAAAGATGGGCAGCTGAATTTAAACGTGGTCGTACCAACTTGGTTGATGATGAGCGTTCGGAACGGCCAAAAACTGCGACAACCGCTGATAACATCGAAAATGTTGACCAAATGATACTGGACGACTGTCGAATCAAGGTAAAGAGATAGCAGAAGCTATGGGCATATCGAAAGCATATCGAAAGAACGCGTTTGTCATATATTGACTGAAGAATTGGATATGCGCAAGCTATCCGCGCGTTGGGTGTTACACTTGCTCACTTTGAACCAAAAACGAATTCGAATGAACATTTCCAAGGCCCTGTTGAAGCGGTTCAAGCGAAACGAGTCAGATTTTTTGCGTCGATTCATAACTGTAGATGAAACTTGGATTCACCACTACACTCCAAAGACAAAAGAACAATCAGAACAGTGGACTGCAAAGGGTGAACCCGCTCCGAAAAAGGTGAAGACGGTTCCATCAGCTGGGAAGGTAATGGCGACTGTTTTTTGGGATAGTCACGGAATTGTGTGTATTGACTATCTTGAAAAAGGTAAAACAACGGGAGCGTATTACGCATTATTACTTGATAAGTTGAAAGCAGAAATTGCAAAAAAATGACTGCATTTAAAGAAGAAGGAAGTGCTGTTCTATCAAACAACGCACCTGCTCACACTTCGGCGGTCACTATGACCAAAATTCACGAACTGCACTTCGAATTGATTGACCCACCGTATTCACCAGATGTGGTCTCCAGCGACTTTTTCCTGTTTCCTAAGCTTAAAGTTTCGCTTGGAGGACAGAGATTTTCATCGAATGAAGAGGTCATCGCATACGTAAATGCCTATTTTGCGGAGTAAGACGCCAACTACTATTTGGAGGGGTTAAAGAGGTTAGAGTATCGATGGGAAAAGTGTATCGACTTAAAAGGAAATTATGTTGAAAAATAAAACTATATTTGACCGAAAAAAATACTTGTTTCTATGTTAGGCTCAAAACTTTTCAGACTACCCTCGTAGTCGATGGCTCGCGTCACCCCTTCGCTTGCGATCTCTCCCCTCAAATAGATGGACACAGGACTCAAAACTCTTAGAATAGGAGCAAATACTCCTTGTGACGAACGACCACGTCATTATATATTTATTTACTATATTTACTATACTTATATATATATATATATATGATATAAGTAAATATATTAAGTGTACAAAAAAGTTCTGAGCTTTAGATTTCATACAACCGAAATAACAATAATAACAATTTAAATTTTATATCTTCCCGTCCTTTTGCGGTTTTAAAGCGTTGACATTTGGCCTTCTAAAATGCCATACGGTTTGGCGTTTGATGCACATAATCTCAAAAATCAGTAGTGTTCACGATGGCAATAAAAGAACATATTCGATTTTCCATTCACTTCGCGTTTCATCTGAAGAAAAATGCTGCTGAAGCCACTGCAATGATTTGTGCTGCATATGGAGAGAACACTGTAAGTCATACTACATGTAAAAGATGGTATCAAAAATTTCACCAAGGAGATTTCAGTCTTAAAGATGAACCGCGTGCTGGACGCCCTTAAAAGATTGAAACGGACGAATTGCAAGCACTGCTGGATATAAACTCTGCACAAACTGAAAAGGAGCTTGCAGAACAGCTTGGCGTTACGCAGCAAACCATTTCCGTACGTTTACATACGATGGGAAAGGTTCAGAAGGAAGGCAGATAGGTTCCGCATTGTCCGAAGACAACAAAAATCATCGGCGCGACACTGCACTCACTTTGCTTTCAAAGTTCCGGAAAAAAGATTTTCTGCACAAAATCATTACAGGTGATGAAAAGTGGATTCTTTATGATAACCCTAAACGTGGAAAATCATGGGTTGACCCTGGACAACCTTCGACATCGACGCCAAAGCCGAATATCCACGCCAAGAAGGTTTTGCTCTGTATCTGGTGGGATTGGAAAGGTGTGTTGTATTACGAGTTGTTACAACCGGGTGAAACAATCACGGCAGACTGCTACCAACAATAATTGACCAATTTGATTGATGCATTAGAAGAAAAGAGGCCATTTACTGGCCAAGGACATCCTAAAAAGTGATCTTGCTTCATGACAATGAATGCTCGACCACATGTTGCGAAAGCGACTCAGGACTATATCTTTGCGTTAGGCTGGTAACTTCTCTCGCACGCGGCGTATAACCTAGACATAGCGCCTTCCGATTACTACTTATTCCGGTCGCTGCAGCATCATTTGGCTGATACACATTTCGTGAGATTTGAAGAGATACGAAAATGCATTGATGACTTTATCGCTTCGAAGCCGGCTGAGCTTCTATCGTCAAGGAATTCGCAAGCTACCCGAAAGATGGCAAAAGGTCGTTGATGCAAACGGGGAATATTTCGCTGATTAATATTTTTTTGTTTGTTTTTGAATAAAGATTGAATTTTACAAAAAAAGCTCAGAACTTTTTTGTACACCTAATATATTTTCAAATTTTCATAAATAATTTTTGGATAAAAGTTTACTTTAAACTAAATTTGCTTATATTTTATTGCATATAAGTTATTTCTATATTATATATATTAAATTTATTAAGGGTAATCATTTTATAGTAAAGAATTGTGTCGTCTTTTAATGTCTGTCAATAGTTAATTTTATTTATACTTTAGTTTTATTTGCAGAAGCTTTTACAGTTTTCCATTTTTTTTATGTAGCATCGATATACAGTTGTACAAAATTTATCATCATATAATCATGTGTTATAATATAATCATGTGGTAAAAAAGGAAAAAAATATATATATATATACTGTTAATATATATATATATATATTTGGTATTTATTTTGTTGTGTTAAGCATTTTATTAACAGTATATATATATATATATATATATATACTAGTTAATAAATGCTTAACACAACAAAATAAATGATATCACAACAAATTTACTTTTTGTAAAAAAGTAAAACAAGTGTATGCGCAGTGTGTATGTAAAAAGTATATATCTTTACACCAAAAATTCAAATATTATATTACAAAATTACGTCATCTTCTGATGTTCAAATAATATATAATATTCACCTGTAATAATATGTATTATTTGTATAAAAGATTTGATATCAAAAAGTGGCACCAAGTTATAGTTATAGTTACATTATCTCGAAAGTTCAATATACAACTGCTTTTAAAAAATAAAATCCATGTGATATGTATCTTTATATTCCTATTAAAGCTTCTTATTCTAACTCAAATGACAGTAATTCTAATTCTTTTTAAAAAATAATGATATCATGAAATTGCATCACTTAACTTGATTCAAATAATATGTATCCAATCTAAGTGATATATTTCTTAAATAACATCATGTATATCATTTGTATAAAAGATTTGATATCAATAATTGGCACCAAGTTATATAAATTATTATATTTCAAAGTTTCGAAAAATAAGACCTAATAATTATATCTATAAAGGATTTGATGTTTCATATAACAATAACGTTTCATTAAACGTATTAAATACTGAACATATGTTTATCTTTCGAAAATGATTCCGAAGAGGATACATAAAAATAAAGTTGAAATATTTTGAAATTATTAATTTGATTGTAAATCGATATTTTACAATTGCAAGCATTAACACTTAAATATAAAATATTAAATTTAATAATTATATATATTATTATTGTAAAATAATAATTTCTTATAAATGTGTTGCTTAATCATTCCTTTACAATTAAATGCACAATGCAATTCTGTAAAATTTTACAATAAGAAAAGGAAATTGGAAACGTTGGAAAAAGTTCTAGTCTTATTTTTATTTCTACTTGTTATCTATTAACCTTATTCGCATATTCGATACATAAAGCATGCGTGAAATTTTTAATGCTAATTTCTCGCAAAAATTTGATTATATTATGTCACTTGTCCATGAATTAGTGGAAAATAAATATTAAAACGTACTTAAAGTTAAGTGAAATTACTTGGACTCTTGTAAGTATTCATTTTTTAAAGCATGCATAATAAGCGTGTTGAAAATAGTATAGTACTCAAAATAGTATATGGTTTTTTTTGCTTTTTTGCATTAGTAAGTCTGATATCTCGTGCTATTTCTTTCAATATGAAACAAGAAATTGTATTGAGTGAAACATATTAAGTGTTTTTTTATTTTAGCGCCTGGTACATATAGCCCTGAAAAAGTAAACTTAAATAAAGGGCCTCAATATAGTTTAAGTGGTAAAGGATCAGCTGAGAAACCTGCTGATACACCAGGTAAGTTAATAATTACATTAATAATTACATTATAAAGGCATAAGATATTCCAATGCAAATTCATGGAAAAATAAGTTGCAAAATATAATGTTAAACAAAAAAGATTTGGAAACAAGCCATTTTGTATATAGCAATAAATATCATAAAGTAAGCGTAAAGTAAGCAGTATTTGATTTTCAGCACCTGGAACGTATAGTCTTGAAAAAATTAAATTGGATACTACGCCACAATACAGTTTCGGAATTAAACCTTTTTCAGAGAAACTCAATAATACGCCAGGTAATAAATATATGTTATTATTAATGATGCTGAATCATTATTTATTTATTCGTATATTGTTTGAAGCACCTGGAACATATAGTCCAGAAAAAGTAAATTTGGACAAAGGACCGCAGTACAGTTTGACCGGTAAAGGGTCTGCCAAAAAGATTGCAGATACGCCAGGTGTATAAAAATTATAAAAATTGTCAAAGTAATATTTTTGAATGGATATAACATTATAATATGATTTTCAGCACCTGGAACATATTCTCCGGAAAAAGTAAGATTGAATAATACACCGCAATACAGTTTCGGAATTAAACATACTCTGAATAAGCCTAATGATACTCCTGGTAATTAAAATCTGTTTGAATAATATAAACATTTTTATTTATTTTATATCACATTATACTGCATGTGTTTATTTTTACTTTAGCGCCTGGAACTTATAGTCCGGAAAAAATAAATTTAGATAAAGGACCACAATACAGTTTGACTGGTAAAGAGTCAATCAAGAAATCTGCTGATACACCTGGTAAAAACACAACATGTATAAAATGTATCAAAATATTTTATAGTAAGAATTACAGAAACGCATAATTTTTAGCACCTGACATGTACTCGCCTGAGAAAGTGAACTTGACCAGCACACCGCAATATAGTTTTGGACTTAAACTTACTCCAGATAAATATAATAATACGCCAGGTATTAAAATCAAATCAGGATTATAGAGGATAATTGATTGCTTTGAATTATTCTGTATAATTTTATTATATAGGATCCTATTATCTTCTTTTACTCTTTTACTTTTTTCCTCCATCATCTTTTTTATATAATATATCCCATTTTATATAATATGTCTCATTCTTTTCGAATGTCTTATAAATATATCGAATATTCGAAAAGAATGGGACCCCCCTATGATCTTCAAAAGTATGCATTTTCAGGGAAAATGACCCGAATAAAAATTGTAGGAGTTAAGAACTATCTTTTGGTAGTCTTAAACTTGAACTTGACCTTGAGGATCATTTGAAGGTCAATATTAAATTTTAAAATTGGAAATCTTTTTATGACTCCGGATTTAAAAAGAGAAATTTTACGTTCAGATATATTGTCATGTCAATGGTCAAGATAATTCTCAAAGACTATTTGGAGGTCAAATTAATGACGGTCATATGAATATATATGAATATGTAATGAAAGGCGATATCGAGAAAAATGAAAGTTGTAGGGATCATGAAAGACTATCTTTGATGATTTATTTGACTTTGAACTTGAAGTCAAATTTTGGATACAGATTCAGCCACTTAAGATAAGATTGGTCGCAGACCCGACTAGCTAAGACAAAATCGGTTGCAGAGGGAGCTATCCGGGCAGCTCAGGCAGTATGTTACAAAAGTAACTCATATTAAATGTTCAAATTGTTGTCCTTGAATTGCCTGGCAATGCTAATTTGATAGAAACCACATTCCTGTAAAGGACCCCGCACAAAATTATGAATTTTTGGTTCTCTGAGAAATTGGCTGAAATTTTAGTATGTTATAGTTCTTGACTTACTGATCAAAAGTTTCCTTAAGCACAAAACTTAAAAATGGCTATTTTTTGCTACATCCGTTTGAAATATTGTATTTTATTAATTTTTGTAAGGTTCCAAATCGATTTTTTATAATGAATCGAGAGATTTTAGATAATAATATGCGATTTACCTACACATTTGAAAAAGATTTATGTGCATATGTATATATATATATATTTGTCTGTGCATGTGTGTATTTGTGTGTATTTGTGAGAGGGCTAAATGGTATGCTACTATTTAATTCCAAAAGCACATGTTTTAAAATGTTAGGGTAACAACAGGTAATCCATATTAATTTCCATCCACTTATTCAGTCACTTTTATAAGATTTATCTCACAAACTATCCTTTATCACAAATCATCTAAATCTTGAGACTTGGTGATAAGTCTTACTTTTCAAATATTCTCCCAAAAAAGTAGTCAAGTGAATTCAAGTCCGGAGATCGACGTGGCTACTCAATGTGACTGTCATGTACAGACAATTTTATCTTTAAATATAATAATAAATATTAACATTGTATGATGAGAGTCACTATAAGAGAAGAAGTATTGATTTATTGATTGATTTCTCGTTGATATCAGGAGATAGCTATTGTCAACGAAATCAAATAACACGTCTGAGAAAGAACCTTCCCTCTCTAAAAACATATTCTCAAAAAAGAAATAATGAGAAGCTCGCGAGGAGAGTTCCCACTATTTCTGCTTATAAATAAACGTGCGGAAAAAGCTTCGTAGCATTTTGCATTCAGCCAATTTAGTTATTAAGCTCTTAATTATTAAGTTTTATCAGTTATTAAGCTATTAAACTATTAAGCTTTGTTTAATTTTGCTTTGGGTTTTAGCTTTAGCCTATCTCAGCTCACGAAAAGTTCACTGTCATTTTGATTTAATACTAATTGTTAAGCAATACGAGAGTAGTCTGAAAAGTTTTGAGCCTAACATAGAAGCAAGTATTTTTTCGGTCAAATATAGTTTTATTTTTCAACATAATCTCCTTTTAAGTCGATACATTTTTCCCATCGATATTCTAATCTCTTTAATCCCTCCAAATAGTAGTTGCGTCTTACTCCGCAAAATAGGCGTTTACGTATGAGATGATCTCCTCGATAAAAATCTCTGTCCTTCAAGCGAAACTTTAAGCTTAGGAAACAGGAAAAAGTCGCTGGAGGCCAAATCTGGTGAATACAGTGGGTGGTCAACCAATTCGAAGTGCAGTTCGTAAATTTTGGCTATGGTGACCGCCGAAGCGTGCGAGCAGGTGCGTTGTCTTGATGGAATAGTACTTCCTTCTTTTTCAAATGCGGTCGTTTTTTTGCAATTTCTGCCTTCAATTTATCAAGTAATGATGCGTAATACGGTCCCGTTATTGTTTTCCTTTTTCAAGATAGTCGATACACACAATTCCGTGACTATTCCAAAAAACAGTCGCCATTACCTTCCCAGCTGATAGCCGTCTTCATCTTTTTCAGAGCAGGTTTGCATGGAGCACCCTTTGCAGTCCACTGTTTTGACTGTTCTTTTGTCTCTGGAGTGTAGTGGAGGATCCAAGTTTCATCTACAGTTATGAATCAACGTAAAAAATCTGACTCGTTTCACTTGAACCACTCCAACAGGGCCTTGGAAATGTTCATTCGAATTCGTTTTTGGTTCAAAGTGAGCAAGTGTAACACCCAACGCGCGGATAGCTTGCGCATATACAATTCTTCAGTCAATATATGACAAACGCGTTCTTTCGATATGTCCACAGCCTCTGCTATCTCTCTAACCTTGATTCGACGATCGTCCAGTACCATTTAGTGAACATTTTCGATGTTATCAGCGGTGGTCGCAGTTTTTGGCCGTTCCGAACGCTCATCATCAGTCAAGTTGGTACGACCACGTTTAAATTCAGTTGCCCATCTTTTTACGGTGACAAATAATGGGGCAGAGTCCCCGTAAACAGCGTCTAACTCGATTTTAATTTGCGCAGGCGTATTGCCTTTCAAATATAAGAATTTAATCACGGGACGATATTCAATTTTTTCCATTTTTACAAAAACACTGACATCGACTGACACAAACGACTGTCAAACAACAACTGAGCGTCCAAAATGGCTGAAATTTTCAAGTTTTTCAAAGCATATACTATTGTAGTACTAGAATGGTTTTGACAAGTAACGTCATCTTTATGTTAAGGCTCAAAACTTTTCAGACTACCCGCGTATATACGAGGGTCGTTCGATAAGTCAGGTAAAAAAGCAAGGTCAAGTAAAATCATCTATTTTCCGGAAAATTCTTTTTCACTTTTCAACATAGTCTCCTTGGAGTTTTACACTTAGTCCAGCGATGTTCCAATTCTTTGATCCCTTCGGAAAAATAGGAAGTCTCGAGTCTCTTCAAAATATATATCCACAGCAGCGATGACGTCCTCATCGGACAAAAATTTCTTTCCCCCGAGTCAGATCTTGAGGTTTGGAAATAGAAAGAAGTCACAAAATCGGAAAAATAAGATGGATGGAGCAGCAATTCGAATCTTAATTCATGCAATTTTGCCATTGCGATTATGGAGGTGTGAGCCAGAGCATAGTGAAAGATGACTTTTTTGCACGTCAATCTCGGCCGTTTCGTTTGCAGCTTTTCATATAAAACGATTCAGAAATGTAAAATAATATGCTCCTGTGACTGTTGGACTCTTCTGTCAATGAAGATAATTCCTTGAGAATCCCAAAAGTGGCCATTATCCTCCAGCCGACAAGTCTTCACCTTCTTCAGCGTACTCACCAGGCGCGGTCCACTGCTTCGATTGCTGTTTTGACTCGGATGTATAATAATGGATCCAAGTCTCGTCTACGGTCACGAATTGCTAAAAGTCTTGTGGATTGCGCTTAAGCATCGACTGCTGCAAAATGTCTTTTCGCATGCGTTTTTGATCGATGGTCAGCAATCGCGACACCCATCATGCGCAAAGCTTTTTCATTTCTAATTCTTTGTGCAGGATATTATGCACCCTATCTATTGAGATGCCTACAATCTCAGCTATGTCACGCACCTTCATTCGGCGATCTTCCATGACGATACGATGAATTTTTCAATCATTTCTGGCGTAATAACTTCAACTGGACATCCAAGGCGCGCTTCATCTTTTTTTTGATGTCCAGTCTCTTTTGAATTCATTAATCCAAAAATAAACGGGCTTCAACGCTGGTGCAGTGTCCGCTGGTGGTCCGCTCGTTTTTGGTCCCCAAGTAATAATGAGAAGATCGTTTCTTGTCAACGCGCCGTTGTTTATGGACTATTGATTTATTGATTTAAGAGATTCGTGAGAGACAGTTTTGAAAAGTGACGCGCGAGCGGATTGTATCACGAGCAGTGTAATTAATTGTGCTTATTAAAGTTTGTTCTTTATAAACGGCCTCTATTTATTTACGTGTGTCGCGAGAGAGAGTGTTGTGTGACCGCCGCGAAAGTGCGACATTATTAACGATTTCATTCATTAATTGTTTCTTAACAATTATTTATTAATAATCTCATTCTGTGACTGTCACTAATTTGACTTCCAAATGGCCTCTAGGGATCAATTTGAACACATCGCAATCTGAACGTATTTGAATGATTGAATGACGTATCTAAATATAAAATTTTCCTTTTTCAAATACGGGGTCAAAAAAGGGCATTTTTATTTAAAAATTTAATGTTGATCTTCAGACGACCTTTAAGATTAAGTTCAAGATCAAGTTTAGAGCTATCAAAAGAGAGACTTTCGTGACCCCTATAACTTTTATTTGGGTCATTTTTCTCGCTACTGTCCTTCACTACAAATTTCGTAACGAAATACATATTCTATATATGCTATTGCAATCCTATTGCTCGTGTCCGGGCGTAGTGATCTCTCTCATATACCTGTAGTGCGCACGATAATTATACACAGATATATGGGACTTACGGTTTAGCGTCGGTTTCGAGCAGCAAATTTTTGGTAGAGAGACGTTCATGATAAAGTTACTTTCGTGGTTTGCTATTGCCTTCCAAGAGGAGACGAGCGTAAATATTTTGATTCTGCTGAGAATCGAACCCGAAATCTCTAGTAATAGATCAGTGCACTGTCTATTGTGCCACGCTCGCTCTCACATATTCTATGACTGACACTAAC